AACAGCAAACAGCAGGCAGCAGCAAAGCAGGAGCAAAGCAGAAGCAGCAGCAGCAGCAGCAGCAGCAGACCACCAAGCAGCAGCAACAAACAACCAGCAGCAAAGCAGCTGTTGGTTTGGTGTACAGCCGTGTGGTTGGTGTAAACCGTGGCTGGCGCAAACCGTGGCTTGGCGTAAAGGGCAAGCTGTGGTTTGGTGTAAGCGGTGGTTGGTGCAAACCGTGGTTTGGTTCGAACGGTGGTTGGTGTAAAGCGTGGTTTGGTGTATACGGTGGTTGGTGGGAAGGCCACACGCACAAGCACACACACAATGTCAAAAATGCAATGTCTCTCGGGCAGCATAACCGACATCACCGATGGTAGCATATTTTTTGTTCGTTTTTAAACAGCCTCAAAGAACACAAATGCCCCTCCCAAGCTGAAGCTTAAGGTATGTGCTGTCTAGCAATTCTAGCGGCTTACGCGACCTCAGACGCCTCAGCACCTTCGGTGCGGGGATTTTTTCTCCCAATCAATCGATGTCCAAGAAGCGGCGATTTTGGGCTCGCCACTGAAGTGTTCAGGACATTTCCAAGACTCGGGTCACCTAAAGATCCTCTAAGCAGTCTTGGGCTTCCAGGGTGTGGAGATCCGGGCAAAAGGGTTGTTGAGGGCGATTCAAGGTCTTTTGAGCCCGTCAAAGCAGTCTGTTTGGAGGGTGGTCACTGAGGCGTCAAAAGGGATGGCTTTCTAATGAATTCACCATCCAAGTTACTTGGTCTAAAGCTTCCTTTTGATGCCTTAAAGAAAGGCCTAGAGTGTTGAGCATCACCACGTTCCATGCTTCAAAAGCATCTCAAAACTATTCAAAACTTCTGAAAGTGACCTGGAAGCTTGCTGGAGACTTGTTCATCGGATTTAGATTTCCGTTGACTTCTTCTCACCTCCGACCGGTGCCAAAGCTTCATTGGCTCAGTTTCCCATCCCCTTTTGGTTTGGCGCATTTCTGCGCCCTCTGCGCACTGAAGAGTGAAGCACCACGCCAGCCCCACCGTGCGGTTCGCCCTTCGGCGAACGCAGTAACTTCCCGCCGTTGGACATCCAGCCCATTGGCGCCTTCAACCACTGGGACCGGCGGGAGCCACCTGGCGTCACTGGGAGACCGAACGGTGTAACTTGCACCACCGAAGCATGAGCAGAGTCTCTGAAGGTCAGGAGAGGTCAAGTGACCATGGAGGGTGAGTGGAGCTCCGGGCTCCGGGCTCTTGACCCAGAGATGAGGAGAGAGAGACGATCTTCTCTTTTGGTACAGTATAGGCAGAATAGGCAGTATAGGCGTCTTTTTCTTTTGAAGAGGTGGAAGGGCACAGTCGACTGCCTGAAGGCCTTTGACAGAGGTCTTTACCTGTGGTCAAGCGCAACATGCCTTGCTGAGGTGTGCCGTCCAGAATAAGGATGCTTGGAAAGAAGTCTGCGCCAAGTACCAGAAGGACCTTCCCATGCCAGTTTTTTCCACGGATGAACAAAAGTGGCCACGATATCTCCATGCAGTTTTCGGCCAAGTTGACCTGACGGGTACATGAAAACCTGCCATGTTGAACACGGTTTTCTGGAAAAGCGACCGCTGAGAACTGAGAACGAAGAAGTCCCACACACCTCCTGGACTGAAGTGACCAAAGAGGGAAGCTGAATCCCTAAACAAAAATGGTTCTGAAAGGTTCATCAGGCGTCCATTGGCAACCCGTCATTCTGAACACTCCTTCTCTTCCTTTTTCTTCTCCACCCCCTCCCCGGACCCGCCCTTGGCGCGGCCTGTTCTGCACCTGGGCGATCCGGCCGTCAGGAGACCTTGAAGGGCCAGGCGCAAATCCCCAAGGTGATCCATCAGATTTGGATCGGCCCCAAGGCACCTTCCGGTCTTTTTCGCTTTCGCGCTCCGGTGCGACGCACCGGGGGCGCGCGCGCGCGCTCCGAACGGCGGGGGCGGGCCGACGGCACCAGGGGGAGCGAAGGGTCGGAGGGTGGGAACGGATGGACGTGCGGAGGTTGTTTTTGAGGGAGGAGAGGATGGACATGTGTATTACAGCCCTATAGGGATCCAGTCGTACCGAACCTCAGAAGCTACGACTGGACCCGACAATGGCGCCTACTAGCCACAGTGTCTCCGTCCTCAGTAAGTGCCTGAGAAGGTCATTGCTTGGATCCCTAGGGCTGTGAGGCGGGACGCGGAGAAAGAGGCGGTTTTGGCAATCCATCAACTCTGAGTGATTTCATTGAGGCAGTGCTGGACGGGTGTGGTGGGTCAACAAACCAAGTTGCAGTGGTTTGATTTGGAGTGGTTTTCACCGAGCTTTGGAGTGAAATCGAATCTGGGAAGACATGGGTCTCTTTCAGAAGCTAAGCCTTCCAGCCGACCTGAAAGCAGGTCCGTGTTTTTTCTGAAGCTAAGTGGATGGAGAAGTGCCCCATTGGCCCCACAGGGCTCCCGAAGCCGAACCAAACAACCCTCCGCGCGTCGAAGCTCTTCGCGTCCTCGCGGCTCGGATCGAGTAAGATCCGATTCTGCAGGAACCTCCGTGCTTGTGGATCGACACCTTCCGTGTGGAGTACCTGGCGGCTAACCCGGGATGGGGATTTCACCTCTGGAGCGACGAAGAGGTCGCACAGCTGCCCACGGCCAACCAGGAGATCTACACCAAGGCGCGGAAAACGGACGCGCACGGACACGCGCGGAAGGGTGGGCGAAGGGAGGAGGCAGACCAGGCAGACAGCGTTTTTCTTTTGGAACGGCGGATGTTGGGAAGCCTGATGATCATTAGTGCATTTGGGGTGCATCTTTGGGTCGATGTAGGGTTGGTCATTCTTGGATGCTGAGGATCGAGACTTCTGATGTGTTTTGAACACAGACATCCTGCAGTAACTGTAAACTCTTGATCAATGACATCCCCAATATGAAGAGGTCGTAGGTTCCAATATGAACATCGAGGTTTAATCAATCAAGAGTCGCCTATATCTTGTATTTGGAGTCTTCTTGAATCTTGAGATTTCTTGAGCCTTTTTGCGTTGTTGTTCGAGGGGCCGTGATGACTTGGTACACTCTGACTCACTAACTATGGAAGTGGACCGCCACCTCTTCGAAAAAGGAACATGGTCTTCCAAGGGACTATACCATCCACTTCCATGTGATGTCTTCGTCAGAGTGTACTACTCTATAGGAGATACTCGAGGCTTTCTTCCAGTGCTAATCCTAGAGGTGCTTTCTTCCAGTCTCCGAAAAACGCTGGAACATCTATGCCACCCCATTGACACCATTCATGGGAGCGGTCTGGGTAGTGAGTCAAGGTGCGTCCCGGGGCCGTCCAAACCCCCACTCGGCCCCGCGCCGGCCGGCGGGCGGGCTGCGGGGTCGGGTTTGACGGGTCGTGTTCCGTGGATTGGGCGTCAGGAGAAGATGTGGCAATGCAAGGCGGACATCTTGCGGCTGGAATTCCTCTGGCATCACGGAGGTCTCTACGTGGACGCAGACATGATCTCCGTGGAACAGCTCCGCGAGCCAAGGGCTGGGTGTGAGAGGGGATGGGGCTCGGGCGGCTGGGCGGCTGGGCGGCTGTTGGGTGGCCGTGAGCCAAGAAATCGTGCCCTGACGGTGTTTGCACGCAGAGAGAGAGAGAGAGAGGTCTGGCTGCACGTTTCCCATGTTGAGTCATTGCAAATGGGAGCCCAAGGGGAGCACCTCTTTTCATCCCACCGGCCATCCTTTTTCATGCCTTTTCGTCCATCTCTCAAGCAGTTGAGAGAACCTTCTGTAAGCACCTTCTGTAAGCCCTTCTGTCTGCCCGGCATCCTCGAGGAAGTCGCTGGACAAGATCCTGGAGCTCGGCAAAGAGACCGGCTGGGTGATCGCCTACGAGCCCGACACCAAGGTGTGTCCGAGTGGAATGGACAGAGATTGGATGGAGCTGGGATGGAGTTGCAGCCATGGCGGGCACGCCAGGTGCGTACCTACCTGGTTGCGGACCTTGTCTTTCTTGGAGCATAATGACCTGAATATACCTGGGTCCATCCCGAGGTCATGAGAGCACACAGCATAAGAAAGGGAAGTTCTCTTCGCAACAACCGTTTTTTATATTTTTAATGCATTCTTTTTGCGGCCCTTTTTTGGTGGACGTTGCAAGATCGAGGACTGTCAAAGAACACAGGCCCGACTCTAGCTCCTGTGTCCCCAGGCACTTCTGGGAGACTGCCACGCAAATCGCCGTGATCTTGAATCTTTCAAGAGTTCAATCGGTTCTTAAAAGACTTCCCCCTTCCAACCCTCCAAAAAAGGACGAAAAACGGTGTTTTTCTGTTCCCCTTTGCGGTGTCAAGACCGATCTACCACCGAACGCCCCTCCGAGTGGGTCGCTCCAAACCGCCGAACCGAAGTGGAACCGGTGGAGCTCGGGACCTTGGGGGGCATCTGTTTCAAGCAGTTTTTCGGTCTACCTGGTATATCTGGTAGAAAGACCATGAAAGACCCCAAGGATTGATTCCCCACGGTTGGACATGATGGGTTCATAAGAGTTGCTCAGATGGCGCCCAGTGGCGAGCGCAGGACAAGCCATACTCCATCCTGGGGAACTCCGTGCGCCTCCGCCGGAAGATGGTGTGGGTGTCCGCTTTGTTTTCGGATGCTTCCCGGGTTGAACATGGAGTGGCCATTCATGTTTTGGGGTGTCAAGTTGGACCTCTTTCTTGGCCATGCTCTGTCACTGTGACAGCAGAGGTTCCCGAGCTAGATAAATCAAGCCAAACTATACTGTATATAAGCATGGATGTTGTTTATTTTTGGTCGTCAACCCGAGCCACCAGTCTTTGACTGCCATGTCGCAGAGGATCAGGTCGAATCAGACCAGTGGTTGGACGAACGGAGGATTCCGCCATGTTCCGGAACGGATTCCGCGCGTGGTTGGAACGCGTCAACGGCGCGTAAACGGTCAACGGCTGAGGATTGCGTGCACCCCGCATCATCCACTGACCTTGATGCTGATCCTCTACTTGAAGCAGACCTTCGACCACAAGCGGCACCACATTGACGTCACTGGACCGACACCCACATCACACCTAGCTGACCTAGCTAGGTCATAGCAATAGGTCCAGGTTTTGTGGGTGGCTGACGTGTGGTCGCAGCTTCTCCAAGTGCGGGTTTGGGGCTGAGTTGCAAGTCTTATAGTGATGATACTCCGGATTTGAAAGGTAAACATTGGTAAGAGCTTTATACTTTCTACCTGGCGGGGGAGAATGAACATTCGCTTGTTGTATGCTTAATTCAAGCTTCTTTGACTCTTGAAGCTCCAGAAAAAGAAGCGGTTCCCCAAAGAGGCATTTCAATAGAGACTCCGCGGCTCACAGTCTAATCTTTGCAGGTCCAGGCCTCCATTCCCTTGGCTGTTTGCTTGCTCTTTGAGGATGCAGGGAGTTTAGCTCCTCAGAACAGTAAACGCACCGATAGCAAAAACATAATGCATATGAAAGCTCACTAGTGAACACCTCTGCACTTTGAAGTCACATGTGTACCTTGGTTCTGGGTCATTTCTTCTTCCCCTACCTCAAAAAGAACACAAGAATTGGTATATAGTCACACCCTTGGAGTCTGTCCACCCCCCCCAAAAAGACTTTCGGCACGCCCTGATCAAACCAAACGCTCACGCCCACGACGGGCGCACCCTCCGAGGTCTTCGCGGTGACGGGGCCGGTGATGTACACGAAGTGTCTGGTGGACAGTGGAATGCCCATCAGCCTCGCTCCACAGGAGTGGCTCTACCCAGTGAGGACCCTCAGATGGTGCGACAGTGCGAAAGCGACATGGAGGGCGCCGGCGTGGTCTCCGGTCCTTTGATGTGTTTTTCTCGGTGGGGTGTGGGGTTTGATGGGGAAACTGGAGGGAGCTTGGAAGGCACTGATTTGGCGCAAGGCAAAACGCAACTACGAGATCTTTCTCATTCTTTCTCCCTTTTTGTATTTGGGGATGTTTTGGGCAGAGTGTCAGTCTGATGTCACAAAAGTCGGGTACATCACAGGTCAGAAAAGAGATGCACAGAGTGTCAGCTGCGCTTGAGCAGTGTCTTTCCGCCGCTGCTGTTCCCCCTGTCCCCTGCGCCTGTGCCTGTCCGTTCGTCCCCTCCCGCCTCACCCGCACCTACTTGCACGCCGGTTGGAGCGAAGGCCTTCCACTACGTGCCCAACCCGGACGCCATCAACTTCGCCGCCTTCCCCAAGTGCTTGATGTGCCTCTTCTCAGACCGGGGCCCTTTCCGATGCTCGGGTCACGCCGTCGGCGAGCGAGCGGAGCGTTCACCGTCCACAGTCCAGGGTGGTCGTTCCGGGCCGAGCGAGATAGCTACGGGTGCCACCTACATACAAAGTGGAGAAAGGGAAGGTCTTCGGTTTTGGAGCTACCTCCACTCAGTTCTTTTGTAACAGGGACATCCTTTCAAAACACTTAAGTTAATGGGTGAAGCGAACGTCGATGAATCCAACGAGTCCTTGTCTCCGTGTTTCGCGTTTTGCGCACGTTGCACCGCTTTGTTCCGCCGCCGAACGCGTCGACGAGAGGTTCCAATTCGGCTACACTTGCTCTGGGCTGGAAGGTGCGCACACCAAGCAAAGAGCTCGGATCTCGTTGATGGTCCGCTCTTTCTTTTTTCCGGTGGCCTGGTGGAGCTGCGTGGTGTTTTTTTTTTGCTGTGCAGTGTTTCTGCTTGGCAAAATTGAAAATCAATGATTCAAAGGTATCCAGTATCCAATTCAACGATTTGGTACATTGAAGCCACACACACACACATGGACAAATTGGCACATTTAAGCTGACTAAACTATATTCTTTTAATGCTTATTGTACATTTGCATTCAATAATACAGAACACCATACAGGAACAGATAACGGATAGATTCTTGTTTTTTTGTTGGAATATCATCTCTTTTGTAATTCCTTCACTCTATACACAGATTGCGCAAAACACGTCGCATCGTATGTGGAGGCTACGTGAAGTCCAAGAATCGTTGCAAGAAGGTCGGCCGGAGCGTTGGCCAAGCGAGAGCGTCGGCATCAGTAGCTGATCCCCTTTGCTTCAGCCAGTCGAGATCCAGACACCGAACGGTGGGAAGTGGCAAACAAATGCAAAGAGGTCAGTGAGCCAATGAGCCTTGGGTGGTTGGTCCTTTTGATATAACATGGAATCAGTGCTTGGTATCCAGTTTGGTCGGCGTTGCACATCAGAAACCATGGGAGCAGTGAAACCTCTGGTGGATTTCCACCACACCCACGGTTTCTATTTTGGAAGTCGACCATGCCAAGTCCACCCGTCACTGTGAAGCCCTTGACCCCCCCGTGGCCCGGCGGCTACTCCGACTGCCCCGGCGGGGGATCCGCGCAGGCGCGACAGTGTCCCTTCCACTCCAAGAAGGCGAATCGTCCGGGGGGATCGACGTCCTTCAACCTCGACGCGCGGGTTCGCGGACGCGGACGCGGACGCGGCTGGTGGCTTAGAGGCGTTTGGGGGGCCGTTTGAGGGTGTGCACAAGGTGGATCGGTGGTGTTGATTTCCGGTTTTGGCGTCCGGGTTTGGGGATGGGCCGAGATGTGTCGGGTTTCGTTCTTGAAAAGCTGTAGAGAGCTCCACATGCATGATGGAACACAGGGTAGGCTTGTGAGCCTAGAAGGTCAGGGTAGGCTTGTAGCAGCACGTCTCTTGTGTGTTTCTTTGACCCCCTCCGCTTTATGGCCTTGGTTGGTTGATGCCGGTTGATTGATAGAGGGTATATCTGGATACCTCGTAACAATCGATCCTTCTTTCTTCAGGAGATCGAGCTGCTGCATGTATGGTATATGGCATATTTACCAGCTATAGGCTATAGGGGTCAACAAAAAGAGGAAGTCTTTGAGACTTCTTTCGGAGCTGGGCAGAATCATATTTATACATATCCTATAGAAGTCCAGTGACCGGCGATATTTTGACGGACTGAAGTGTTTGGAAACTCCTAGACTCCGGGTCACCGTTCATCAGACCATTCTTTTCAATTCTTTGAAGAGGACTCCCAGGACAGTCCAACAATCGATCTGGTGAGTGAGAAAGGGAAGGTAGAATCAGTTTTGGATCTACCTGCACTCAGATCTTTTGTTGAGATGCTTTCAAAACAGAATCCACGCTACCTCCACTCAGAAAAACAGAATCCACGCTACCTCCACTCAGATCTTTAACTTGTCAGGACATCCTTGCTTGGTGGATGTGGTAGGACATCCCTTGGCATTTGGTCGGCTCCATCGCAGGTCTGGCCCCTGGGCGCCTTCCGCCCGCTGCCCACGGTAGAGGACTTGGAAGCGAAGCTGCTCGGCGGAGGACTTGAGTCGAGTGTGGCGAGGCTTAGGTGATCTGCTTAGAAGAGCTGGGACCCATGGATCGCGTCTGTTCCGAAGCTTTAGACAGAAACATCATCATGATCTCAAGCTGCTTAGGCAATCTCTTTGCAGATGTTCACATTCATTGACGCTTTTCCGAACTTCGTTCCTTTTCGCCACGGGCTTTGGGCCGGCGCCCCTCGTCGCTCAGGTTCACGAGCCCGCCCGACGTGCCGAAGGTGATTCACCAGGCCCCGAGCCGTTTTGGACTGGACGGGTTCCAGCAGGACGACCAAGCAGAAGCCGGACTGAACGGGTCTTTTGAACGATCCTGAATCTGTAACCGCTTGGGAAACGATCGGCCCTTGGCGTGTCATTGCCGTAAAAGATCTTAAACGTAATTACATAAACTACTTTAATTGTATCATAAAAGTACCAAAGACCTGCTTGATCTCAAAAAGGGATCTCAAAAAGGGACTCTGTGTGCGGTCCCCGTTCGTGGTCCCCATGCTTCCCCAGGTCTGAGTGACGGTCTGATTTCTGAAACAATCGCCATCAATCATAGTTCAATGAACTGTTAGAACAAGAACGAGAAACACTGGGAGGAGATGGGAGGAGAATATATAAGAGGAAGCAGAAGAAGAAAAAAAGTAATAAGAAGAAGAACCAGAAGAACTAGAAGAACCAGAAGAACCAGAACAAGCACGCACACCCACAGTCACAACCCGAAGCAGAACCACCTTCGAATGAACACATTCGACCTGCCCATCCGTTCCAGGTGGTCCTGGGTGGTGTGGATTCGGATTTCGACCCTCGGCGCTGGCGACAGAGCTGGTGGGACGACTTCTGCAAGAGCCATCCGGGCTTTGAGTACAGGACCCGCCCATCAGGGCATCGTTTGCTTCAAACAAAGAAGCTGAGTGAAGCATTAGAACAAAGAAGAAGACCAGCGTCTCGTGGTTTGCAAAACGAATTGGATTCCATGGTGGGGGAGTAGACATTTCAAGCCTCCAGACTTTCAGACCATTGTCAGAAGTTGTCCAAAGGGTGGTGCAGTGAGGAGAGACCAGCGTCTTGGTGGTTTGTGACCTTATTGGAGTCCTTGTTTGCGGGCCTTGAAACGTGACCAAACCAACCGGATCAAGGACGGTCATGAGATGAAGAACTATACCATCACCATCCAAGAGGCGTCTATAAATAGCCTCTGTCTGAGGTGATTCGGGGTGTCGAAAAACCACCGGTCTTGGAAGTGTAGCAAAGTCGTCAAGAAGGATTCCTGCTTGGTGAAGACAGCGCCGAAGCGTGACTGGAAGGATTTGGACAGATCAGTCGGTAAGTGTCGACAGATCAGCTGCGGAAGCTGGTTGCCGTTCGTTCTCTTGTTTGAAGGAACTCAGGCTAGTCAACATGCCTCCCCTGCTTTGCCTTCGAACGACCTGCAGTGAACCTTGGCAAGAATCATCGCAGTAATCAGTACCCACGCGCCAATGTACGGGATATAGAGTATTTAATATGTATTAAGAATATATACCACCCGAAGTGATCCCTTTAATCTGCCCCTCCCATGGAGTGTTTGTGCTACGAAGTGCGCTTTTTATAGGGGATGCAGACATCGAACGTTGCACGTGCGGGCTTCTCCAGGACCTGGTCGAAGGAGCAGCTCCTGGGCCGCAAGTGGTTCTGTGCCAACTTGTACGTGGAGCCCTTTGATGATCACGCCATCACCTCCTTGATGATGGAGATCCTCTTCGAGGCGCCGATCAGACTGAGCTTCAGAGCGCCGTTCGAAGCGCCGTTCACGGCAGATGAAAATGGGTCTTTTTCAGATCTGAAGCTGTGGAACAACCAAGGAACCCACTCGACGTCGACTCTTCCAATCAACCTTCCACCTTCCGAGGTGACTGTCGGGATGGGATTCTAGGTGGAGCTCTCACAATGTGCCAGGGAGGTTGAAATATCATCAGTTCCTGGAACCCCCGCGTCCCAAGGAGAAACAATTCTGGTTGTTCCAAGTCGCTATAGCGCGATGGCACCAGATCCGATCCTTTACAAAACAAACTGCTTGGGACTCTGGAGTCTGATCCACTTGTTTCGGTTCATGTTTTTTTGTTTTTTCCCCAAACAGTTTTATCTTAGAAAAAAAAGAGCTGGCCACACTCACTGGCCGCGCCCCTGAACTCTGTGGCTGGGCTCTGTGGCCCGGCTCTGTGTCCGGGTCTTGTCCCTCCTCTTGTCCTTGTCTTGGCCGCGCCCCTGAACTCTGTGGCTGGTCTCTGTGGCCCGGCTTACTGGAGAGGAGTGTGGCCGAACAAATAGCGATGTCAATGCCGACAAAAATTCATTGATGAAGCAGTTTGCTCTTGGGGTGAAGGTAGGGCGTACCAAGAAATCGATTTTTGACTATAATTGGTCTAAACGAATCGGTTCGAAGCTGTTTGGGGTCTGTGCTTGTATTTTTATCGTAACCTGTTGCAGTTCCCCAAATCTGCTCACTTCGTTCATCTTCGGAGCCCGTGAGGCCCGACCCCACGATCCACGCTATCCTCGCGCGATCCATGCGGATACGGGGCGTTTCAAGTGGTCGGATGACTCGCCAGGAGGGTGGCTTCTATGTCCCTCTCTCTACCCTGCACCAGCCGGGCTATGGAGAGGAACATTCCAGTTTGTCAGTGGGTTTGGAGGAAGAAGTTGGAATGACAGATGAAGGAGGCAGACTTCACTTCTTTGGTGGATGTCAAGAACTACATAGAATGGTCAATCAAATTTATTCAATTTTGATCTTTTTCCTAATCCATGAGGAATCGGAAGTATCTTGAAGTCACCAACATTTGTTTTTTGTTTTTCACGTGGTCATCTTGTGGAGAGTGCATCATTGCACCTTGCTTGGCCGACCCTGACGATATTCACTAGCCTTGGTCACTATCTATCTCCAGAAACACATCCTGCACCGGATGAGCTCATTGGATATAATATGTTTCGTTTCTGACGTTCCAACCAAGTGACGTGGCAGCACTGTCACTTCAGTTTCCCCATTTCTTGTATGTTCACGTCTGTTGCGCAACTATTTCACCTCACCGACCCCGTGGTGCGAACCCGCTTCCCCTTCCGCGTGTGCTCCGCGAGGACGCCTTCTTCACCGAAGGCTTCGAGGGTAGCTTCGTGGAGGGCAACGGAGGAGTCCTCGGTGCAGCCAAAGGCGGCCATCCCTCGCGTCACGGGGCACGTCCCGCGTCTCGGGGCGGCGTTGATCTCCCGGGTGCGGGGGAAAGAACATGACCATCACGTCGTGCCGGGGAAAGATCGTACGCAGCGGTGGTCTTCAGGTGCGCAGAATTATTTCGAGTGGACACGTTTTTTTCATTTCGTGCTCACCACCTCAGCACCGGACATGCGGCCCGCGGCGCCGAAAAGAGCCGTTTCTTATGGCACCTCCTACCTGTGCCATCCTTGCCGTGCCGTCAGAGCCGCGTCTCCGGGCCACGAGCCACCGCGGTTCTCGCTCGCAGCGGAAGCTGCACGGCGAGCGGGCGAGGCTCTCCGGAGCTCTTCCAGAAGCTCATGGAGCTCTACGACAAGGGCACCGTGGGCCCTATGGAGCCCCCGGGACCCGAGGGCCCTCGCGTCCTTCAAATGGGCTTCCGAGATGGCACCTGAGATCGGCAAAAGACGAGACGAGACGAGACGAGACCGTCTAGGGGTGCGTGCTGGGCAGCAGGGTGCGCCCAGTGGGCTTCCGTGGATGGGTGGGTGGGCTTGGGGGAGGTGGGCTTAGGAAGGGTGAGAGGCTCAGCCATTCAAGAGGATTCAAGAGGGTGTAACTCTGATTTCATTGGATCAAGATGTCAAACTGACAGGTTGCTGGTCCTTTTGACCGCTTGATGAGAATCGTTGGACAGATCGAATGTTCGAAGCTCCTCGGGTGTCGTACTGAAAGATCCAGTCCCAGTGGTTGAAAGCCGTGCCATGCCTCCCTCTGTGCCTCCCTCTCGCCGTTCGCGCTCCCTCTGTGCCTCGCTCTTGCCGACCGGTCTGTTCCGCGTGCAGCGCCCAGGCATGGTGCTGAAGGGTCGATTTCCCAATCGCAGCCGTTACCTGGGTGCACAGCAGGCGGCGGGACCTCGTTTTTGGATCCTTTTTTTTAACGGCGAGTTTGGTCGATGAATCGAGGAACCATTAAGACTCAAGACTTATATATGTTGAGGAAGTTAAGCTTCCACTGCATGCGTAAGATCAAAAAAAGAATTAAGAAACGACATATGTCTATTTCCAATGATATGCAAAGCTTCATTCAGCTCAACATAACATTAAACAAAGCAACATGAAAGAAGGAGGGTTTTGGATTAGCACCGGCAACACATGAGCCCCTTTTGTTTAATGTGCTCCGTGCCGATGCAGCATCATGTGCATTTGGAACGTTGTTTGTGGTCTTGCGTTGAAGGTTCCAAGAATCGCACTTTGTTGTTTCTTTTCTTTATGAGGTAAGTGGGTGGTTCTAGTGTAGTTTTTTTTCGGGACAGTTCCACCCACTAGAACCATCTCATCTAGAACTACTTGCTGGTCAGGAGGTGGTGTTTAGACATTCTATTAGTGGGTGGTGCTTAGTTCACAAACTTTGGACAGCTCCTTCACTGAAAGCCCAGCTCCATCCGACCATCTGGGTGTCCTGGGTAGTCCCCAGCCCACTATCTTGTCAGAGATGTCCAGGTCCGCCCCCTCATGGTCGGTCCAGGTAGAGAGGATGCTCCGTGTGTCGGGAAACCGTCGCATTGCTCTTCAACGACCGACCGCCGTTTCTTCAACGACCGGTCGTTGAGAGGTGGTGGCTTTTACGCCTGGCGATCAACGGCTGGAACATGCCAGCTTGAGCTTCTCCTACGAGTGCCAGGTGCGGCCTAGTGGTGCCATGTTGGTGTTTTAAAAAGGATCCGAGGAACAGCGGCCCAGCAATGTTGTTCCATCGTCGGAATCCCGCTGAGGTCTACTTGTTTTACGAAGGATTTGACGACCAAACCGGACTCAACCAGTTTTAGAAGGGTCGTTTCCGGAGCTTCCGAGGGGATTAGGATGGTAGACATCCAGCGAGGACCATAGGGGTGGAGTGAAGTAGACTAAAGATGACTAAAGAGATACGTCCACCATCAGTGGGCTTTTGCAATAGAGGAAGGGTCGCGTTCAAATCCATCGTTAAATTGTTTGGTGTCTGAGTGAGGGTGCCATGGAGTTTGAGGGACTCGGGTTGAACCTAAGAGCGTGGACCAGAAAGAAAGGTATCAGCCTTAAAAGACACTCGGTGCCCAGGCAGAGAATGGCCATTTCATGCAAATAGATGCAAATAGATTGCGAGTTGAACAAGATGCGGCTGGTTTCGTCATGGCACCTCCCCGACGAAACCCATGGGAGCTCGATTGACATCTTTTATAAAGCTATTGGTTCATTTGACCAGGAATCAACCAGGGTGCGCCATGACCGCCATGCGAAAACACGAGTCATGAGCGGAAGTCCGCAAGTAGACCGTCAGGCCAAGTAGAAGTCCGTTTGGATCCATTGTCAATTGGTTCGGTCAAAGGGTGAGAAAGTGAGAACTAAAGAGTGGTGCACCAGGAGTCACAAGGAGTTGGGTGGTGTGCCTCGTCCCATCCAGTGAGTGGATGTGACAGGGGCACCCTTCACCTCCATTGAGCACGCACCCCATCTTGTGACTGCTGGCAGATCGATATTTTTGGTCAACTTAGGATTGTCCCATATCAACGCGTGTTTTCGCTGTTTCGAGCATTTTCGAGCTTCTCTCTACTTCTCAGTCCAGCGGCTGATCCCGAGAACCAGTGGATGTTCGGTCTTGGTCTCGGTCGCCGGCACCGGCGATCCGATACGAAGCAGCGATCATGAGCAAAACAGCAACACGTATAGAAGCGGTGGGTTGACCATGGCAATCTACTCAGTTCATGTTTGGTCAACCACCATCTCCCCCTGTGCATCATCCTGATTTTCCATGTTGCCCTTTCCACCCAAATCATGGTGATGTCATCCGGTGAAGCATCGCGCTTCGGAATGCCGATGGACGTCGGCAGAGAACGCGTGCGGAGGACTGGAGGAGGTCACAGTAGGTGAGTCGACTCAGTTTGTTGCTCCAGGTGCCCTGCTTCTCATGCAAGGGCATTGAGGCGATGCAGGCGGCAGTCAGTGAGATGGGTGCCGTGGGTCGCAGTCCAGTGGTCTCGGTTGGGGTGGTCTCGGTGTGCGGGCCTAGGGTGTGGCACTCTTTGTCCTGCCGAAGTCCCTTCGAGATCATGAGGTGAAGCATGGTATCATGATATCCAGAAGGCAGGCAGTAGTCTACTTACAAATACTTAATTAAACACTCCAAAGATATGAGAAGAAGTCCTACGAACTGAGCGATCGCTCCATTTCCATTCAGTTTCGAAGATTTCTAAGCTGCTGGGGTGGAACTTTCGAACCTCTTCCTCTTGAGACTTGGTTCTGTCCATTTCCAACCAAAGAAGCAAACTTTTCCATGATTTCCAAAGCCGTTTTCAATGTCTCTTTTTTTCAGAGTTGCTTTGAAGCACCAACTCCGGTGGCTCCACCGGAGGGCGTTCCAGCCAGCACTGGAACAACGGAGCGTTGTCTGGCACCACTGGAGCGGACAACTGGACACTGCACACTGGGCCCCCCTGGTGAATGGACATCCCATATATCACCTCTAAGTCTAAGGGGCTATGATTGGACACCCCCATCCGCCAAACAGGGGGCCCTGGTATGTACTGTGTATACTGTATACTATTGTGAATTTCAGCTGTTGTAGCCAGGGTGTATTGCGTACAGTTGATGCACCGTCGCTGCTGTTTCGGCTGAACAGGGCCCTTGAGCTGATTCGCTGCTGCGAAAAGGAACTGTGCGAGATTCAAACTGGTAGCGGAGCAGGTTCTGAAGGGGCACCCTCAGGATCTGACTCACCCGGGGAGACTCGCTGGATCCGAACCCGTTGAACCCAATTGCGTGACCCTGCGCGCAATCCGTCGAACCGTTGTAATTCCAGTGCTTTGCGAAACTTGTTGAGTTGCGATGTCGCTGGCTGGCCTGCGGTACACATCCCATGGAGGAAGTATCTCAGGACCACAGGAGACGAAGAGCGGATCATACATCTACAGTGGCAATCCAAATGGTTTCTTCGAATGGGAATTTCGCACCAAGGTCCGCGTTGCTTTGCACAAGCAGAAACATGCGAAGAAGAAGTCAGAGAAGACCTATTCGAGTCCTGGAAGCCAATCAGCCACACCAGAACGTTCTCAGAGGAGGCCGACTCATGCGACCGAAGCTGGGGATGTATCAGAGGATGACGAGGCACGATTTGAAGCTTTTGGAACCCCGAAGTCCGAGAGCGTGGCAGGAGAAGAAGAACCAGCTCTGAGCACTGCCGGACTGGATGATGATGGAGCAGAGTATGCAACACTTGTCCACAAGGTGTTGGAAGGTCTGAGAGGTGATGCATACCTCACAGCTCAAGACATGGGATTGGAGAAGTTGTTGACTCCAACTGGCATTGATGAGTTGATATCGCGTATCCGTGCACAATTTTTTCCACTTCGACAACAAGAAGCACGAGAGTTGTTCAGAGTGGGTCAACTCCCACATGGTCCCTTGTCTCGCCAAACGACAGAAAGCGTGACTAGCTACATTTCACGAAGACGTCGTTGGTGGAGGAAGCTTTTGGAGATGGATGATGGGGTAAGTCTTTCAGACCCCATGCGTGGTGAGCTACTTCTGGAAGGTTCTGGCTTGAGCAAGACAGAACAGCTCATGATCAAGACAGCTGCAGGCGACAACCAATCCTTTGACGTCTACGCCAAGTTCTTGCTTGAATTCCATGGACAAATTCACTTGCGCAGCTGGTCCGCTTTTGGTAACACGAGCCCTCGGAGGCAGAAAGGCGGAGGCAAGTTTTCAGGCAAGTCTTCCTACAAAGGAGGAAAAGGGCGCAGTTGGCAAAGATCTGCGTACATTGTTGAAGATGACTCTTGGGACTATGAAGATTCCTATGAAGCAGAAGCAGAGGACGACTATGAGCATGAAGCTTATGTCGCAGCAGAAGATGAAGAACCAGATGATGAAGAACATGAAGACTATATCGAAGACCCTGAAGTTGCCACAGCGTTGATGGCAATGGGAGAATGTGATGATGAAGAGAACGATGCCTCAGAGGAACTGGGCAGCGCAGCCCAGCATCAAATGATGGCCTTTGTCGTGACTGACCAGTTGAAGGGCAAAAGCAAAGGCAAAGGTAAAGGTTCAGGAAAGAAAGGTGGAAAGAGCAAGGGGAAAGGCAAGTATGTGTTCAAGACACAGTTGAGCGTGCAGGACAGGATTGCACGTCTAGCAAAGTTGAAGTCAGTGTCCAAATGCTTGCGTTGTGGAGGAAAAGGACATTGGGCAGGAGACCCAGCTTGCAAGTTCCCCAAGCAGAACGACAAGTCCCCTGGAGGAACGTCGTCGACGAGTAAAGCCACAGCCTATTTTGCGTTGAGTGATGATGAGTCTTCTGTTGAAGGTGAGTACATGTGTGTTGATGTCAGTGGTCAAACTGTCGAAAATGGTACGTGCTACATGGCATACAAGATGTCCCCAAAGAAGAAGCTTGAGTTCGAACCGTCAGACCGTGCATCCATGTCGTCAGGAGTGACCAGCAGTCCACCGTCTAGCTTTTCGATGGTCGAGCCAAATGTCCGTCGGTCACCGCAGAAGTCCCCGCCGGTCACGCGTAGGAAGAAGGACATGGAACAAGACTTGTTGCCTGAAGGTTCGCAGAATGTCTTCGTGTTTGGTCAGCACCAAGGTTTGACATACCATGAAGTGTTGTTCAAATATCCTGGATACTATCAATGGGGATCAGGCATTTCGCACCCTTCGCGTTGTTTGGCAGATTTTCTGACCTGGGTGACCACGTACTATGAAGTCAGTCAGGACGGAGACGTAAGCCTGAGAGAGCATCCATTGACAGATGTGCCAGTAGAGGCAATTCGACGTACTGGAGACAAGAGTGCCAAGGGAAAACCACCAAACCCCCCGCTAGAGGAATCATGTCGTCGTTGCACCAGATTCACATTTCAAGGTTCAAATGCCTATGTTGAGAACAAGACATGCCTTGACTGCGGAAGGAATGAAAGAAAGAAGAAAGAAAGCAAACCTTCGGCCGACCCCGCAAAGTGCAAGCATGAGGTCACAGATCGTCGAGGCAGTTCGAAAACCACGTCTCGTTGGTACTGCAAGTTGTGTGGAACCACTGTTGACGAGATGCCCCGAGAAGAGGCGCGTAAGAGAGAGGCAATGGCAAAGAGTATGGTAGGCATGCGCACCAATGCATTCGACACGACAGCATCCATGATTGAGAATGAAATCAACGATGCATGTATGTCAGCTGAAGGAACTCTAGAGGTTTTGGAGATGTTTCGACAAGAGGTTGAGTGTGAGTTAGAATTTGGCGAACCTGTGAGGGTTGGCGTCCTGTTCGAGATCCTTGCCAATGCCGTGGAGGTCATCAGAGAGGCCGCACCGGAAACTTGCTACATGGGACTGTTGTCGGATCTCAATGAAGCCACAATTGAAAACACACTTCGTCTTGTTGACATCATGGAAGACCCTGGAGTCTGGGCTGTGTTGGATGAAGGATGTAATGCAACTGTGTGTGGACAAGCATGGATCCAAAACGCCAAAGACAAGTATGCACGTCTTGGGTATGATGTAGCTGATTTGCAGTGTGACTCAAAAGCTTTCCGAGGACTCGCCGGAGACACCAAAACTTTGGGCAAGTGTCGAATTCCATTTGCTTTGACCTTTTTGGACCCCGAGACGAAACTTCCGGGAGTCATGGAGACACATGTTGTTGATGGGAAGATTCCATTGCTTTTGTCACAGCATGCTCAAGCTGCATTGCATTTCACGAAATCTATGGGTGATGCCAAGTGCTATGTAGGAAATGCAGAACTTGAACTGTGCAGAGCTAGGAACTCAGGACTTCTATGTGTGAACCTCTCAGAAGGTCTCAAGAGCCTAAAGTCCAAGAGACTCCCAAAGCAACTTCGAGAACTAAAGAACACGGATTATGGCATGAGCTTCAACATTCGTCCATCAGATCAGTTGACTGCATTCATGGCTGACGAAGAGCGCCCGACTAGAGGCACTTTCACGCTGGATGACCCTGCTTGTGTGCATGTCCTGACATGTGGAAAGGAGTTCAATGGCCAGATTGCAAGCTTTGATCGCAGCAAGAGCTTGATTACATTGGGACCCATCTTGGCACAATTGACCCCGGGAGGCGATTGTTGATCTTTGACTGCATGGGATTTGGAGATCCTCAACACGACCCGCAGTTGCGATCTCACGTCGGTACACATCCGGAAATCATTCGAGGGATGACTGGCAGCGAGAAGACGATGGAAGCATTGCTATATGGACTTCATCACCTGAAGGCTTGCCATGAAAAGGGACAACAGCTGGCTGTCATAGCCTACTGCAGGCGGAACAGACACAGATCTGTATCCTTTGGTTGGTTGTTGGCAACGGCATTCAGCAAGCTATGCCCGAGAGCTCACTTGACCTTGACGCATTCCAACCAGGATCATTCCTGGAGCCAGATGAGCGGCGCATGCAAGGGCAAATGTGCGATGTGCACGCATGAGTCGCATGATGCTTTGGAAGCAGCCTTGAGGTCAAGGGACTATGTTTTGAGGCAGTTCGGGTTGAAGGCGACTCCAACATACAGTCATGTTGGCCTGGTGGTATACGATTCGGAAGTGGAATCCCGAGAGAGCGATCGAAGATCCCAGGCACCAGTCGGGTCCAGAGTACTACCGCCGCCGCCATGTCCGAAAAGACCACCAGTCCTCCGACCAGCGGTGGTAAAGGCGGCGAGTGTGGCGAAGGCGCCAGTCCCCGTGCCAAAAGGGACACACACCATGTCCCATAGAGGACCAGGATCCGTGAGGGCAGCATCACCAGACCCACAACTCGCTGCAGCAACACCCAAGGCACCAGCACCTGAAGCACCAGCAGCCGAGGCATCAGCACCCGAAGAAGAGAGTCGGTACAATGAAGATGCTGAACTTCGTCGTCGTGACAAGGCCGAGACCTCAAGACAGGCAGAACCAAGGGGTGAATCAGTTGCTACAAGTCAGCCTGATGCCGCGACACAGGCC